TCAGCTTTATTGCAGCTTTCCTGGCCAGGAAGTTACCAGACACCTTCCAGGAAACCAAATCCATCACATTCAGCATGCTGGTGTTTTGCAGTGTGTGGCTGTCCTTTGTCCCTGCCTACATAAGCACCAAGGGGAAGTACATGGTGGCTGTGGAGATCTTCTCCATCTTATCCTCCGGTGCTGGGCTCCTGGCTTGTGTCTTTTTCCCCAAATGCTACATCATCATGGTGAGGCCTGACCTGAACAAAAGGGAGCATCTAATAAAGAGAAGTATTTAAACCATGTTGTCTTTTTGTTGCCTTTGTCAACAGCATTGTGGGGTGGCTTGTTTGAGACTGCAACTCTTTTGAGACTGTTACATCAACATCATGAGGCCTGATGTAAATAAAAGGGAGTCTCTAATAAAGAGAATTATTTAAGCAATTTTGTCCTTTCTCTTTTACCAACATGAGATTAGCATTGTGAGGTGAATCTCTTGAGGCATCAATTTAGAGAGATACTTTAAAGGTCAGATAATCCATTTTCATGGCCCTTGAAATAAGTCCAGTGTATAACCCAAGATACAAAAATTATGCAGTGAAGTTGTAGTTATTGGCCCTATTTATGTGATATTCTGAATCAGATAATCCTCTCACTCATAATTGTAAGGTTTACCCCATCCGTCTAGAGAAACTCTCGTGACACATGTGTTCAACAAAGAAGTTTATTCAAGCATAACATACGTAATTACAGACAAAGCCAGAACTGGCTTGGCATATTTTTCAATACAATTTATAGTTCCCCTGTTCCCACGCTTTGCCCCGTTGCTATGTTACAAATCACCCGTGGTAATTCCCCCCTTCACCGAAATGGCAGATTCAGTTCAGTTCTTTTGTCCTTGATTGCTTTTCACCCCCGTTGCTGGGACCACGCCTTCATTAGTTCTTTCTTTTGCGGTCAAAGCCGTGGTTTTCCTAATCGTGGTTTTCCTAATCATACGCTGATCGCTTTGCCGCTCGCCTCTGCTCAACCTTTTGTCCACGGCGCTCGAGGCTAATGGGTGCCAATTCAAAACATCCGCTCTGTGGTTTCAGTTAAGCGGTCCCAGCTGGCCCATTAATCAGTCCATGGTTTCACTTCCCCTTTTTGCTTTGCTACACTCAGGCAGTGGAACTGACTCAGCGTGGCTCGGCAAGTCCCTAGCCGTGCTGCGCCGGCTGAATCAGACAATAATAAGCTTCTTTGGTGTTAAATTTAATAATTTTAGAAGTTAAGAATATATCTTCATTATATCTACTAAAAAGAATTCTATACAATGTTTACAGGAAGTTACAAGGCCGAAATTAACATGTATAAACATTTCCTAGATATAGTTAAAAGAAAATAAAATGGTACAGGTTACTGAATACTGTAACATTTAAAATTAATAAAACAACTGCATACAAAAATAATTGATGAACTTATGAAAGTATTTTTTGAGTAAAACATTGAAATACTGATATACTGAGTGACTAATGTATTATGTGCTTGGAAAGAAAGAAAGAAAGAAAGAAAGAAAGAAAGAAAGAAAGAAAGAAAGAAAGAAAGAAAGAAAGAAAGAAAGAAAGGTAAGTTGATAGATGATAGATTGAGTAGGTAATATTGAATAGGAAAGTTGCTGGTGTAAAAGGGTTCTGGTTCACCTCCTGCCTATACTGGGCTGCCTAATTTGGCTTGCTGTACCTGGAGAATATGTCAACCCCATATTGCTGGATTGTGTTTCTATCTCTTGATAGCTCCACAGCCCAAAGGACTTTACATGAGAAGCCACATTGCTGTCAATCATTCTGGATTATGGCTTTCCAGAAAGAGGGGAAAAAATGAAGAAGGATCATGGCAACCAGGACATGGCTGGAAAAGTAAACTTTGAGGAAGAAATAGAGCCAACATCTGTGGGCCCTAAATTCCAGGGGGATCATCCCAATTTCTAAATTAAGAGCTACATTTGAAACAGAGTCAAGTAGTCAGAGAGTGCCACTTTGGTGTAATTGTTAAGGCACCAGGCTAGAAACTGGGAAACTCTGAATTCCAGTCCAACTTTAGGCATGAAGCCAGCTGGGTGACCTTGGGCCAGTCAATCTCTCTCAGCCCTAGGAAGCAGGCAGTGGCAAATCATTTCTGAAATCTTGCCACGAAAACTGCAGGGACTTTTGCAGGCAGTCACCAGGGGTCAACATTGATTTGAAAAGAAAAAAAAAAAGTACTCAGAATATTACTGTAAGGAATCTGGATGTAACAACATCTAAGGGCTTTGAGTTATATATGTGCATCTTGGAGATGGATTGTGGTTTGAAGAGGATGATGGCAGCAGGCAGCATACGTTGCCTCCTTCGGTACGAAAAAGGCCCAGAATGTCCTTAGCATTCTTGTTTTCCTTTTCAGAAATAGATCCAAATGGTTCCTTGCAGATTCCAGAGGGTTGGAAAAGTATCCCAAGATACTGAAAGAAGAAAAGGACTCTGTATTATTGTTGTTTATCTGGCAATGATGCTTGAGGCATCTAAGTCCCTTTAAAAGAAAAAGAAAAACACAAAAGGGTTTTGGAAGAGTTTATGATGAGCCTTTCTTCCCTACAGGCCAAGTAGATTCAGAAAATCATGGGCACATTACTAGCAGAGCAAAGCAGAGCCAGCTGCCCATTGTTAATGCTAGAGAGCTGGCATTCTTCTTTGGTTCAGGGGGTGAGTATCAGTAGAGATCTGTTCCTTAGTGTGATTTTGGTCTTTATGGTCAGCAGATAGGACTATAGATTCTCTCTAGAGGGCCCTGTCTCTCTTTTCCTTTCTGCTGAAGAAAAGTAGTGCTAGATTCCTATCATAGACCAGTTCCGGTAGCCATAAATGCATGGGATTTGGACATCCATGTGCACTTCACTGAATATCTCCACTTCTGTATTTTTCATGACCGGTTGCATCATTTATAGCACATTCAGAAAAGTTTGAAGATATTCTGGGAATCTCTATAAAATTTATCCAAGCCAGAGTGCTCAGGTTAGGAGCCATCTTGAACTACTTTGCCCTCTGATTTTTAGCATGTCATGAACATGCACAGATTTCAAATTAATGCAAATCTCATGAAAAATATTCTTCAGAAATTACTCAACTTTTTTGTTCACTTCCCCCCACTCCAACATCCTTTGGGATACATATTACAGTATTGACCTAATTGCACCCTGGGAATATGCTGACAAACCTCTGTGCAATACCAGGAGAAACATATTTTTTTCCCCTCACTGCTTTGAATAATGGAGAACTCTGGTGAGGTAATCATCTGCCTGGTCTTTAGAATCTTGACTGACTTCTCCTTTCAGTTTGGCAATTCCCTGTAAAAGATAACAGGACATTGCCAGTCTGTCACTTTAAAGCTAAAGGATGCTTCAAGCATTACCCTTGAAATTAACTCAACAGGTAGAAGTTTGTTGTCAACTTCCTTGGTTTTCCAGTTGAAACCTGGCTGTTCATTTGGAGAATACTCCTCCAATCATGGGGGAAGTGAACAGTTTTTTTACAGGAAGATTTTCATATATTACAGTTGGGATGTTGGTATTAGGAATGCTTCCTATGAGTGTTTGCAAAGTTTCTTTTTCAAAAGGAGCTAGCAGTGACCCCAGTCCCTTTGTTCACAAATACCATGAACCAGGGGACCTGATTCTTGGTGGAATAATTTCTCACAGCTTTGTAGCTTCAGAGAAGATCACATTCAGAAGACATCCTTTTGAAGACATTTTTGTTGAATTTATGTAAGGAGTTGATGCTTTAGACCTCTATTGTATCTCTGTCCTGGTAATCATCCGAAGTGATGAGAATGCAGTTTGCTTCTTGTTTTGTGGGGAGAAGAGATGAGGTGAGGTGTGTGTGTGTGTGTGTGGGGGGGGATTTCTGCTTCCAAATGATTTTTTCTTTTTTATATCACCAATCTAGAGGAGGAGACGGAGGATCTGGAGTATTAACACTGGAAATAATATTTAGAAGCACTTACACACAAACACACACACACAGACACCTCTCTCTCTCTCTCTCTCTCTGCTCTTGCAAAAGTCAAAATTGTTTAAGAGTTTTAAATCTTATATGTGGATCATTTCTCTGTGAAAGGTTAGAAATTCAAACATCCAATCTCTTTCACTGTTTTCTTTCCAAGAGGTAGATGATACGTAGAGAGATAATTATTTCAGTCAATGACCAGAAAGAACAAAACCTATATAAACTCATTAAAGGACAAAGTTTTCCAAGATAAATTTCCAACCTGACAATTATTTAACTCTATGAAGGTAACCATTTCTTTCTATCTTTTAAAAACCACCAAGTATTTTATTTTAGAAAGACCAGGAGGGTTTCTCATCTGTACAAACTCTCCCTGAAGTTTGCAGAGAAAGGACAACGGCCTGCACATTAACTCCTTTTTTGTTTTTTATTTTAGGGAATGATGGACATGATCCAGATGTAAAAATGGGTAGCATTACTTCTACCATAGATCTCCTGAGAAATATATACAACACATTTTGTACAAGTAGAATTAATAGTGGAATTATATTTTTAATATTTAGCTGTTACCTTCTAAATTTATGGTAGTACAGATGTGGAAATATTTCCAATATATTGGATTTGAAATCAGATAGTAATCATGTCCAGACTGATTAATATTGCAAGTAGGTCTCTCAGCAAATGATTGTACTTAAGGGAGTTTTTAATTGAATTGCAGATCACTAACTCAGATCTATCAACACATCTTGGCTCTTGTATTTGCTGTAAAGGAGATTAATGGAAGTCCCCAGATCTTAACCAATGTCACCCTTGGCTTCAACATCTATAACAACTATTTTAATCCAAAATTTACATATGCAGCTACAATGGAAATTCTCTCCACACCACACAGATTCATCCCAAACTATAAATGTGATTTCAACAACAACCTGGTAGCAGTCATTGGAGGACCTCACTCAAATGATTTTCTTGACATAGCAACTATTCTGAGTCAGTACAAGATTGCACAGGTACTTTTTTCCTCCATGAACAGCAAAAAAGAAAAAAAGAAATTCAGGAAATTGTCCACAATTCCCTTTCCTGTTAGAATGGAAAGACTTTTTAATCTGTGGGGTGGGTATTGGTGGGCTCCTATTCTTATTCCAGGAAAACTAGATAAATGCCATGTTCCTCTTTTCTTCACACTAAGGAATCTCTACCTAAATCTGTTAAGAAGTGGTCATTGGATGTGAAAATTGTAATAAGATCAGGACCCCATGATCCCAGTCTGTTGCAAGCAACACAATCAGAGGAATCAAAATATGCAGTGCTTTATTGGGGGAAAAATGCATTTCTTGTGGAGCAAACCCTACTGTTTTCTCACTTTGATTCTGCTTTTCCAATTGCATTCAATTAGCTTGCATATTCTTCAGCTCCAGAGGTGAATAGACCAAATCAAGCAATTCCCTTCCATTGGATGTTCCCAAATGCTGATTATCAATACCATGGGATTCTCCAGCTGTTCATATATTTCAGGTGGACATGGATGGGCATATTTTATAATGATATTGGCAGTCAAACAGAATTATTGCTCCGGAAAGTATTGCCTTTCTTTTCACAGCATGGCATCTGTTTTGACTTCATTGAAGAGATAGCTGGTGGGACATTAGATGAGACTGAACGGTTTTTGGAAGCAACCCAGGCCAAAGTAAGCCTTGTCATGAACAGTACAGCTAATACAGTGATCGTCCATGGAGAATTTCAGAGTGTAGTATTTTTATGGATGTTACTCCAACTTTCAGAATATGATGATATGGCAGGAAAAAAAACAAAAGTCTGGATCATGACAGCAGATGTAGACTTTTCATCAATTCCGCTTCAAAGAAGCTGGAGTGTTCATTTTCTCCATGGTGCTA